ACAGCAAGCTACATCTCTTAAATCACCAAGTTTTCCAGGCTGGGCTTCTGCTTCAGCCTCCCGGAATATTGGGATAATGGTTGTGCACCACTATGTCCTGGGTTTAGCTATCTGTTTTACATCTTTTATTTCCCTAGTGAAGCAAAGTAAAATGGGGTTAGTTTGCTGTATCTCTTGTTTTAGCATTATAGTAAGAGGTGTGGCTGGCAGAAATCATGTTTGGACTAATATGTTTTATGACAGCTACTATTCTGGGAATGATTAGTACATGGTGACACCATGCTTTTATATACACCAAATTACTTAACATTCACAACATCTCAAGAGCGTAACTTTTGATTTTACAAATGGAGAGAATGAGACTCCAGCTATAACTCACGGAAGTGGCAATGTGCAAAATCACTTCTCAGAGCCACAACACTAACGGATCTAGCATCAAACCTCAGCCAGACTTTCCCTCAAAGTTAATTCCCAATCCAACACACCAAAGAGTTTCAGCTTTGCTGTGAGCAATGGGAATTTTTATTCTCAAGTAAATCTGTGGGACCCAGATATAGTAGCAGATGAAAGAAGAAGTGCTTGTTTTTTGAAGTGCGCAGGATGTGTGGAATGCTACCTTAAGACCTAGAGAGAATTCTAAATTCTTTCTAAAAAAGCAATATATAAACCCTGTTCTACAATATGCCATGTCTCAAGAACACCATTAATTATAAAATGGATCTACAAAACCCAGCTGTTTTGAGTTTACAACAACCTTTATTGTTAGCTATGCTTGTTCACTGAGGTATGTCTACTTAGTTCATTTTCTTTGCAGATCTGTTCTCACACAGAATTTAAACTGTAGTCACACTGGTTTCTGAATTTCTTCCTCACATGCCTCACTGTACTTCTAGACTGACTCTCACTCAAATCAGATTATTTTCAACCTTTTTTCTAAGTGTGGATCGTGAATTCCCAGACACTTTCAAAATTATTTAAACATACAACTCTCTTTTGAAGAATGGCCAGCAGGATTAGCATTCAACTTTGGCAAGTGATATAAGTACCTCTGCACACCCTGATCACTTTTACACAGAGGCCTAACTAGGGCATTGGGCCTTCTTTCTAAGAGGATTTTTAGTCATGGCCAGAAGTTTGTTATTCCGGTAATGTTTTAGTTATGGCTCAGAAACTGAAAGGTCATTTCAAGAATATAAAATATTAGGGGCTGGGGATTTACCTCAGCGGCAAAAGCGCCTGCCTGGCAAGCGCAAGGTCATGAGTTCGATTCCTGGTACCAGAAGAAAAACAAAAAACAAAAAACAAAACAAAACAAAAGAATATAAAATATTTTATTAAGCAACTATTTACTTTCTGTATCTTCTCTTCTTTCCCTAGGGATTAAAAACAAGTTCTCCCAAATTCTTCAAGTTCTCAAAGCACAATTTTGAAGTCACCAGAGATATATACCAGGTCTTTCAGTGCATTACCTACTGTTCATTCCCTTGTCACCTAGCAAGTTAGGAGCAGTTGCTGTAGTCAGTTCTCAAACGTCAACAGCAGAAACTGGAATAACCAACCCTGTGGGCATTTTCTGTTTTTAATGGGGCACTCCAGTGCTTTTTTGCTTGCTTCTCTTTTCACTCTCTTACATTCAGTAATATTTCAGCTTCTTAAAAATAATTTTAATTCTCCAAGTCTTTTTCTTCCTATCCTCTGCTTCCTTCTCAATTATTTCCAACACTGTACAAGACTCTTTTCTATAATTGACATAGTATAACAAGAAGTGATTGTGGTTTTCTTCCTAAACTGGACCCTCATATTCCTGGAACTCTTGTATACTGATGACTGCTTTATGTTCTCTTTCTAAAGATCTCATCTAATCCAATTTGAAATGCTGTCTGCACACTGCTAATTTCCAAATGTATTTCTGGCCTCCTGCACTTTGTTGGAAGTTGGACTTACATCCATCTCTAGTGATTTCCAGTTGAAAGTCTGATGGCATATTAGACTCAATATGCTCAAAGCAGAACTGTTATTTCTCCCTGATCCAGATTCACTTTTGTCTTCTCTTACTGACTTCTGTCACACCAATTGCTTAGAAACTTATGTCTTTCTTGATGTCCCATTCCCTTACCCCTGATCAACCGCTGATTCATCAGCAAGACCTTCAGTTCTACTTTCAAATTAGAGACTGTATTTTTCCATTTTAGGATCTCTACTGCATCCATAGTAATCCTTTGAACTGGACTATACTAATAGTCTTCTACCTAGGTAGCTTTTAGTCTATTTTTCTTATAATCTGTTGTATACACAGCAGCCAGAGAGTGATCTTTTAAAACATGCTAACTAAATTGCATCACCCTCTGGTTAAAACCTTCCAGTGATTCAGCAGTTCACCGAGAATAAAATAACAAGTATTTCCCATAGCTTTCAAGAGCCTTGATCATTTGCCTTCTAATAGCTTTCTGAGCTCATCTCATTCACATGCCTCTGTTCTCCTGTGCCTTGAAGATGCCAAGTATATGCCTGTTTAGGGTCCTTAACTGCTCCTTATCACTATAATACTACTATCCCAGACCTCCGTAAGGCTAGTCCCCCTCCAGCCCGGTCTGGGTCACACATAAACACCTCAGTGAAGCTTCCCCTTCACTGGCCAAAGTCAAATCCCTACCCCCATGTGCTGCTCACCAAGCCCTTCTATTTAACACTGCAATAGTTATTCATTGCAGTTACGACTGTTGGGAATAATATTATTTAACTTCTTTTTTCTTTTCAGTGTGATCTTTTAGGGCAAGAACTTTGTCTTCACAGTAGCACAACTGGGGCCGGGAGAGTCTTGAAGAAAGAAGTCTTTGATACCTAACTTTGACATCTACAAAACATAAAGATCTCTTCAATCTCAAGTAACACCAGCGGTTTGTAAGTACTTTGAGAACTTACCTGCAAACGTTTGCCCTGGTACTCACAAACGGCAGAATATTGACCTTATTTCAACTTTGGAAGAAAATATATTTTTTAGCCTCTTGTGGTGGTGCATGCCTGTAATCCCAGCACTCAGGAGGCTGAGGAAAGAGGATTGTTTTGAGCTCAAGGCCACCTTGAACTGCATAGTGAGACCCTGTCTCAAAAAAAAAAAAAAAAAAAAAAAAAAAAAAAAAGAAAATATATTTTTTGACACTTAAAAGACAAAACAAAACCCACACCTCCTAAAAAATTCACAAGGGCACTGCATCGAGAATAATTCCATCACTGTTCCAGTTTAGTTGAATTTGGTCCATCAGGAAAATTAAACTGTGCCATGGAGGAAGAGGGCCACCTTATACACAATTAAGCAGGGAAAACGTCAGCTTTATCAAATCAACAGATCCAGAGAGTAAATACAAATCTCTTTTAGAGCTGTGAGTGACACTAAGGTACTTGGGGACCCCCAATTCCATTCCTGACTGAACACAGCTCCAAAGAAAAGTACCTTGCAATATCCCGCACTAACTAGAAGTCAAAACTAAAGAACAATTAGGGCGAAATAAAATGTAGTGCAATAGAAAAGAAAGTGCATCTGTTACGTGCTTGGGTAGCTTGTGCTGGCAAGAGGAAGCACTAGGGGAACGGGAAAGTGAGAAACAGGACTGGCTAAGTCTGCACCAGGAAAATGCTGAGTCCCTTGTTCAAAATTTACTAAAAATTCTGAAACAGTCCCAGCAGACTGTGGTGGCAAAGCATTACAGAGAACAGGGTCCTTGTGAAAGCTGGACCCTGCGCAGCTATGGTCACGCAACAAGGAGGACCACGTTTGTGGGAGCACAGCCTTCGAGGACTGGGAAGCACTCCTTGCTGCCCTAATTCCCAAGCAGCAATGGCTATCAACATTGGAGCAGGTCATGCCTCGCGTTGGTGGCGACTGACGGTCATGCTGCTGGGGCGCAGCTGGGAGAAAGCGATGTGTTTCTGAGGCTCCGAAGCAGAATTCCAGACACAGATGAGGCAGAGGCAAAGAGGCCGCCTATGACGTTCCTCTGCCTGCCCTGGTAGTCCCAGCCGCTTTTCTTTGCAGAGAACCCAGCTTCAGAATGCAGCAGCCACCTTTGTGTCTGGGCTGGGTGGAGCAGGTGGGGCTGGGTGTCAGGGTGTCCCAGAGGCTGGGGAGGGCGCGGGTAGACCTAGGTTTAAGCACAGTTCCGTGCATTGGCTCTCTACCCTCTTCTGGCAACGACCTCTACGCAAGTGGCTTTGGATGACTCGCTATTTTCAACCCGCGGTGGGCACTCTGAGGGCGCGATCCACGCGGAACCGCGGGGCTCAGCCCTCCTGGGTCCTCAAGTCACCTCACTTGTAGAAGAGGTGGGTAACCCTGGCGCGCTTGGGAGAAGTGGCCAGGACGCCAGG